TAAACTCATCAATAGCTAAAATAGAAAGTAGATTGAGCTTTTATATTCTTAGAACGAGACAACAATATTTCTATTAATAGGTGCAAAATGTCAGAGACTCCAATTGAAGCTTACTTAAATTGATGCTTTAATTGTAGCCAATCGATTTTTACGTAAAAGTATTCGTTATGCACGGGAAAGTAAAAAATACTTTTTTCGTACCATAGAATAATACAACTTTATTCACATTTATATCGCCCACAATCGGTTGACTGATGAGCCACAGAATCCCCCATCCAACAGGTTGTTTTCTTTTCCTCTGTGGGCAATGAGGAAAGCATAAATACAAGGCTATGGCGATGTCGAGCGCTGAATGTGCGTCATCAGCTAAAACTAGACACCCACAGAAAAGAAATGATAAAAGACGCACTCGAATCTCTGTGGTCTACTTCAGATGCGACTCTTCCCAGTCTCCCCCAAAGACATTTATATAAATGGGCGACAAATAAGCCAAAACTACCAGCTTTTTACAAGACACTAGACGCATGACAAAAACACACAAAAACTCCCAGAACAATGCATTCAATTATCAGGAACAGCTTCCATTTCCATTCCCATTGCTGCCAATTGCTTTCTACTGCCAAAAGCAAGCAGTTTGCATAAATGACTTTTGTGCTCTGTTACTAGAAAAATGACTCTGAGTGTAAATTCAACTTAAAATGAGAGTGGAACTCCGTCTATGCTAGAAGTGTGCCATTGCTGCTGCTGTTATTGCTGTTAGCACCAATTATATGATACAAAACTTTGCAGCACAATGTTGTTCGTCCAAATGTAATTCAGGCCATGGACACAAGTTTCAAATGAAGCACAAGTACTTACACATATATATGTATATTGTAGAAATATTCGACCTTGGTTCAATCTTAGCTCAACTCCAAATACCCAAATGCTTTTTGCGCCAAATTGTCTGTGCATAAATTGAGCGTATTATCAACTAACTATGACCAAATCATAACACATACACACTAACAGATACAAAGCCAGATTGGTGAGGGATCAGGGTAATGCTTTGCCTATTGATAAGTAAACCAAATTGATGGATGGGCGCCATTGGCGAATAGCTTGCGGTTTTGCAAAGAAGGCGCCAGACAAGCTGGCGACAGGCTGCTGATAAGCCCTCAGGGCTTCAATAACAGTACTATAAATAGAAAGTTCTTGTTACAAGAGATTTACCAAAGGCTTTGCACATGAGCTGCCCTAAATTAAACATCACCAATTTTGTAGGCCTTAAAGTTTCCTTACTTAAAGTTAGCCAAGCGAAAAGCATTGCCTCAGTTATCATTGTTGTTGCTATTGGCATTGGTGAGCCAAAATGGCGGAGTGTGGGGCTGCTCGTAAATGTTTTACTCATTAGCAATGGCGTGAAAAGCTCAATAAACGCCTTCAGCCCATAACAGAAAACCAAACGCTGCCAACGAATGCAATCAAACTGAAGCCGAAACTAAAGAAACAATATAAATGCCATTATGATATGAACATAAAAGCCAGCACAAGCGGATGACTCAACCAAAACCAATTTGTTGGCGCCCAATAAAAACAATAAAAATATTGCTACACTTATTAAAGTCCAAACATTCAGTTTCACGCATTTTATACGGCTCAACAAACTCTGCGTAATCGGTTTCAGTTTATTTCTTACTTTTTTGCTGCACTAATGGGCAACAAGTATATGAGTACAATAAATATCTGTGCAAATATCTGTATGCAGTATCATAAATCGTTATATATTTATGTCTATAACACTTGATACGAACAATTTTTGCCAGACAGCAAGCTGAGCTCATCGGTGCCATTCCTTATACATTTAATATGAGTATACTTCAGCGCTATTTCAAATCGTTCGCTGTGACTCAGTTGCTAATTAAAAGCAGTTCTCGTATTCGTTTGAGTCACTAAGAGAGAAAATTTATAAAAAATGTTTTTATTTTTAATTGGAATTGTTTCCTAATGAGAAATTCTTCTTTTTATTAGAATAAGTACTGGAAAGTATCGTTAAAAAAACTATTTTCTAACTGTATATAAGCTAACATGTGATGATGTGAGAAACCATGAAGTCTGAACAATGCAATAAATATATTTTTCAAGCATTCATGCATTCGCAGCAAATGGCATGGAAGTGAACTTTAACGTCGAGATCTATGATTTATTGTGATTTAAATGCGGTTTGTTTTGTGCTCTACTCTATCCGCACTATAATATGTTTGTCTGGCTAAACATTCGTTTAATATTGATGGTCATGTCGACACTTTCAGCTTGCTACATAGTGTGACAGCTGTAACGACATTTGACGCCCACCGTAAATGTTATGCCCCAAGCTTTTGGCTTTTATATGCCACTTACTGAGAGCAGTCAAAGTTCAGTTCACAGATTATAGACTTTTTGTTGCGTCAGCAGCATGTAGGAGTATTTCAACAAACATCATAAATCATCTCGCACGGTTTACTATAAAGGTGAAAAGGAAATGCAGTTTAAAAATATTCTTCCATGAGTTTACTATTTACGAATACTATGGTTAGAGCCAAGGGGAAAAATATAACATTTTGAAATGAAAACTTTACATAAACACAAAATTTGTACATGTTAAATAAAGTATTTTATTACATTTGAAAGTTCATGGATGCGGAAAACTCGTTTGTACGAATCTGTTCTTAACAGACGATTTTAATTGGTTAAGCAATAAATAAATGTGGAAGCCCTTCACGCTGCCTTTCCAATTACATTTGAAAATAAATCCTGATAGCAACTATCTTGATTAAATATAGTGTGCAATACAATTTTCTTGCCATACGAGAACCGTTTTAATTAGATACACGGTCGTACAATGCAGTCATGTGCCACACTAATGATGCTGATGGAATATACCCATAGACAGCTGCATGAGATGCTGCTCACATGTTTTGCTGGGCATTTTTGTGTGTAGGGCAGGGCAATATATCACACATACGCCACGTTGCTCATTACGCATTCGCCCAGTGGTAATCATTTCTGTAAACTGTTTTCGATCTGCGCATCGTGTGGTCTTCCCCTTCGTATTGTTTCAATGCCCACGCCCACACAAAACGCATATGCGAGGCACGTAGAAGCCTTTTTGTGTCCCACAACAGCAGCAGCAACAGCAACAGCAACAACATCAAGAAAGTCTGCTGTCAGTCCTCAGAGTCGATGGCAACGTCAACTTGACTCGCCTGTCAGTCAGCTAACAAATGAAGCACCGTTGAGGCTCCAGGAAAACTATTTATATGCGGCCTCCAAAGGCGTGGCCGGGGTGTGGCAAGGGAGCGGCCAGGATATGTGTGGTATCTGAATGGTTGCCTCCTTGCTGGGGCACAGCCTAGCCATTTATGGGCAACATATTTAAGCGCATTGTTTGCGACCATTGGCGCCTCTGTTTTGATTAATAGCCAACGCGGTAAGCCCTACCTAGGACAATGGACAGTGGTCAATACTTACACAGCCGCGCAAAAATATTTGCAATGCCAGCTAAATTGAATCTCTGTTAACTGTTTTGGCCAAATGCGCAACGTTGGCATCATTGCGCGTGCCAGTCGCGTTCCAAAGTCTGTCCCCGGGCTAATTGACTGCAAGTTTGTTTAAGCCTTGGGGATGGGTAACTGGCTAACTAGCCAACTAACTAACTGGCTCCACCCTGCCATCTTTCGAACATACACGCTGTGTCTTTTTATCAGCTGGTGCCACACGCACAAACAATTTAGTTTTACTAAGTTGCCAGCTTGCCCTCCCCTGGGTTGCTGTGAATAATGTTCCGAGCTTTGAAGCTGAATGTTAAGAATAAGCAAAGGGGCATGGGACAGTAGACGATGCAGCGGACGAGGACGAGCTTGATGATGATAATGGCCTCGTTGCTGTTACTTGCTGCTTGTTGCCCTCTTGTTGTTGATGTTGAGCTTGTTGTTTTTGTTATTCGGGCTCGTTGGCTTAATTGATTTAGTCAGAGCTGCATAGAGTTTAATAGTTGCTCATTTTTTATGTGACGTCCAGGCGAAACAACAACCACAGCAGCCACAATCGGTCCCTTAGGTGGCAATTAATATTTGCCACCACTGTGTTACACATTTGACACGCGACACAAAATACAGAAACCGGTTGAGTAACTCCTCAAACGCCACATTTGCCTACAGCACGGCCACAGTGCGCATGCAGTCGCCAGTCGACGCCAACGCGACTTTAAACAACTTGGCGGATAGCTGCCTCCTCTCAGTGAGTTCAGATTCTTGACTGCCGGCACATGGCCATGAATGGCATCTTATCTTGTAGCTCTGCCAGCGTTGTCAGCGGTGCACTTAAGTGGGACGACATTTTAATTATTTATTAGTAGATCAACTAGTGAGAAATTTCAAGAATCTTGATTAGGTAATCGAATAGTCCTGATACTCTGTGGCGTTAGTGACACAGGCATTACACACTTTTATTGATTGTTTTATTATAAAATCTTTAAAATATTTGCCTAAAATAACTTCATTCACTATAATATTTTTTAGTATCATAAAGAAATACTAATACTAATACATAGCTGTAACAAGATATTTGAGTCTGCTGTATAAATATTATTACACACATCAGAGTTATTTTATTACAGGGTAACTGTTGAGGGTAACTTTTGCCATCGGGGAGTAGACCTAGCAAACAAGTATTCATTCATTCAAGTATTCATCAGAGAAAACTTAACTGCGTATTTGATTGAACGGGTGCTGTGAACCACATCGCACATATTAACACGATCATTGCGATGTTTAATTGCTAATCGTAATAATATTATAATAGTGCATTTTGCTATAATTAACTAAGATCGAACTTGATTTATGCGGTTGCTTGGCTGCAGTTAGCGCTGATACCATTTATAGACAATGTCGCTGCTCGTAGCCCAGTTCCAATTAATCAACCAAGCAGTTGGCAGATCATATATAAACAATGTTAGGGCATTACCAATGGAGTCAGTTCCACCTCAGCTTCAGCGGAGATCGGACTCAAAAGGGATAATAAATTTCCCATTGAATTGCTCAACAATATGCGAACAACAGCGGTAAGCAATTAATTGAATTTAATTAATGCCTGTTTCGGAGATTGAACATCATTTACACCTGCAGTTGCTGCTGCCGCTTGTGGCCCTAGTGGCCGCCCTCCATATTGATGGTGGCATGGCGCATGTGGTGCCATTAACACTGCCAGTGGCAGGTACGTATTTGGTAGCACAGCCGTCGCCAGTTCTGTTGCTGGTGCAGCCGCCAGAGGATGATGGCAGCTATAAGCCGCCAAATGGCGCTGATGATGGACTGTGGAAGCCGCAGCCAGGCTTGGAGGGCGAATATGTGGAGTCCTCTACGGGAGATAGCAACGCGATTGAAGAGGCGCAGATAATTAACAACGCTGCCTCTGCGGCTGCTAATGCTGCTGATGAGGCTGGTTCAAGTGTGGTAGATGCTGCTGCGGCTGCTGCTGGCGACGAAGGTGGAGCCAATGGTGCCGGTGGTGGTGGCGGTGGTGGCGCTGGACAGGCCGGGCAAGCCGGTGGCATATTGGGTGGCGCTGGTGGCAGTGGCGGTTCTGGTGGTGATGGTAGCGCTGGTGGGGGCGGAGCTGGAGGTGGCGGCGGTGGCGGTGGTACAGTTACATCCGGCGAAAGCGGCCAAAATGGAGAGCCCGGTGCACCAAGTCCAGCTGGCCCACAGCCGGATGGCGAAGATGGTACGGATGGTGCAGATGGACCCGACGGACCGGACGGATCCAAGGGCGGCAAAGGAGGCAAAGGCGGAAAGGGAGCTCGCAATGGCGCCGGAGGCGGCGGTGGTGCTGGTGGCGCTGCACCTCAGCCTGCACCGACTCCTGTTGTGCTTCCGGCACCCGTCTGGCAACAGCCTGAACTCAATTTGATGTAAGTAGGAAAGAAAATACTTTATTACAAAAATTGCTCACATCCTCTACTTGCAGTGCCGTGGTCTAACCAACCGTCCTGTGCCTTCTGCTGCCAGTTTCACGTAGTCATTTAAGTCTCTATTAGCCATAGGACTAGTCAATTGTGTCAGAACCAAGCAAACGAATATTAAAATTCGAGAATGCCCAAAACGCAACCACTGCTCTGTTTGCATATATACAATCGTGGTAAACTCTTGCACAGCATGCAATGCAAGGTCGTATTAGTGCTTGCAGTAAATCTGCACACTTTACAAACTCTCTTGCAGCAGCTGGACAAAGTTTGTAGCCTAGCAACAGCTGTTTGACATCTAAAATAACAATGCACATTAAAATTCATATTTACTTCGGCCATGTCACTCTCTCTCTCACTCTCCCTTTTACATTCTTTCTCTTTCAATCCGTTCGGGTTCCCCTAGCATCGGGAGATTTATGAGTAATATAAACTCTTCTCAAAGCAATAAATAAGCTTATCCAGCACGTGTGCCCACAACTATGTTAAAGTTCAAGCATTTCTTGTTTTTAGCCTTAACCTTATATGTTATACATCATTGTGTGTCATAAGCTTCAGCTTTTGACAGCTGCTCTCAATAGCGTCGTAAATTTCTCACCAGCCTAAAAGCAGGCAACACAAATTTGAAAGTTCTCTACCCAAGTGAGAGAGAGAGAGAAAGATAGAGTGAGAGACAGTTAGAATATTTAGTTTAATTAAATAAAATGTCAACCACAAATTGACAATTTTAGATATTTTTCGCATTGTTTACCATGCACCTGGCAGCTGCTGCTGTTGCTGCTGCTGCATATGAGGCAAATTGTAAGTTTATTGCAGCGCACGTTCAACGCAACATGAAGTGAATGCAGCAGCCAAAATCAATTTTCTGCTGTTGCTGCTGCTGCATTGAACACATTCCCACAGCAGCGTTTGGCGAAATGAAAAGGAAGCCCGTAGAAACAGTTTGCCAGACAGCAATCAGCAACCCGAAATCGCATTTCACATTTTCCGCTGCTTACTTTGTGTGCAAATGCGCGAAACGCTCGGAGTATTTGCTGCATCAACTGCAGTGGCAGCAGCAAATTTTGTTGCCTTATCTCTACGTATTGTTTCAATTTGTTGCAGTTGCCAAAATTTCGACGGTAATGTATCTGTGTTATTTTTACGTTAGCCCTTTTGTTTCAGATAATTACGCAGGAGTGCAAATATTTGAGAATTTGCTTGTTCTGGATAGCCAATACAACTGACAGCATTAAATATGCGCCCATCCATTTAAAGAAATAGAGAAATTTAATAAAATTGATGACTACATATCTTAAATTAAAGATAGAGCTGTCTACTCAGGCATTATTAACTTTTCACTTCTAGATTTATTTCTTATAATTTTATATATTTATTTGAGAATGTGAAGCAGTCACCACACAGGCGGGTCTAATCAGCTAAACATCGCAATTAGCAATATTCATGTGGTCAGAGATGTTTTTTCTATACGCTGAACATATTTGCACAAAGTGTTACATTAAGTTATTTTGTGTTTATTAATATATAGCAGCATATATATGTAGGGTATTCAACCAAAAACGCAGCGTTGCTTAAAACATGAAACAAAATTCACTAGAATTAAGTAAAGCAAAAAGAAAGCGTAAATAAATTTTAAATTATTCAAGCCAATTCATCTGTAAAATAACACAGCTTTATAGAGAAATTATTATTTCAAAAGAAAACTCGATGACTTTTCAATGTATTTCCCTAAGTTACAACTTGCAGCAACTTGCAATTCCAACTCTAAGCAACGTTGCAATTACAATAGTTTCGATTTTATTTCAACACTTTAACTTATTTACATATATTCAAATTTGAGCAATTAGGCCATAAATTAACGCCTCAACCATAAATTAAATTGAAGTAATAACTGAAAACCACTTCAGTAAAAATATGCAAAACGTTGCCAGAAAACGCCTACCACAAAAAATGGGAAAAAAGTAGTTTCTATCAATTTGCCAGAGATAGAAGAGAACCAACTCTCGAAAATGGCTTAGTAATTGTGTTATTTTATACAAATTGTTAACTGGCATTTGTTTGCTTAACGGTTCTCGTTGTTGTTTCTGCTGGTGCTGCAAAATTGGTCGCTGGGCTGGAAGTGACCCTCCAATTAAACGTGGTTCTCGCCAACTGGTTGTCAAATTGGTGGTTCATGCAAATGAGCCGCAAAACGCCAGCAACAGAATTCTTCGAAACCTATGAAATATGAAAAGCAAAAATTTATAAAAAAAAAATAGAAAAACAATGAGGTAAATCGTGGCAAGAAGCAAAGAGCCGCCTGGCTGCCACTTGTGCAAATCAACGCCAAAAATTGCAATAATAAAGTTGGCAAAAATGATTTGCGCCAACAGCAACAACAGTAAAAACACCAACATCAAAAATGTAGCACATTCACTTTTGACGTGGGGTTGGGCCACGCCTCACACTTGTGGCAGGCTGCACAAACGTTACGGTCATGCTACCGTTGCATTGCCTGCAACAGCAACAGTTGTGGCTGCCACACAATCTGAACTGACCATTTAAGCGGCTGCTCGCAATTTAAATAATTTCAATTGCGCTTTATTGTTTTTTCTCAAGCATAATTAAATAAGATTTGATCAAGCCAAAGACGTGATCCTTAACTACACATATCTCTGGCGAAGGTCATTCGAGCGAACTCAAATACAGATTTGTTGCCAAATGAATGTCTAATTAAATAGCTTCATTTTAGTGCTTGCTTTTGCGACCCTGCCTAAGCCTGTTAAATGGCCTTTTTAGCTGAGCAGGTTGGGGTTGGGTTTTCGGGCTTCGTGACCCTTCTGTTATTTATGCGAATCGAACAGTGTTGGTCACTTGTGCTATGACCTTTGCGTGTGCGGCGTAGATTGTTAATTTTTAATTAGTCGGCCACGTTGGGCATTCCCTGTAATTGACGTCGAGCCGCCAAGGTTATTGATTAGTGCAAAGGTTGCATTTCAATTTATGGCTCACCGGCATGAGGTGTACAAATTAATTTCAGCCCGAGGCTAACACCAAACAGTCGCACAAATTGAAAAGCACCCACGTTCTGCTACTACATATTTGTTACTGAGTTACCCGCAAACAGCTCGAAGCAAATGCACATGGGGAGCGATACAGAAATTCACAGTCAGAAAAGTGAAAATAGTACAGATTCGATTTTCCGCATTGATTGACTGCTTGTCTCTTTCACTGAAAGCCTTTGGCCACCGTTCGATGCGAGCTCCACTCCTTTGCTTTCCCGCTCATCGGTATATGCACATTCCAAACGGCGTACGGCAAATACGTGTGCATTCATTTCCAATTGTACACATATTTGCGATTCTAGTGCTTATAGCTGTGCATATATGTGACAAGCAGCGCACAAGGCTTACACTGTTTAACATTCAAATGGAATTGCAATTGAATGCGAACTAAAATGCTATAAAATGTATAAATACTAGATAAATTCTGAGCTAAAGCGGATACATTGAAAAATTCGTATGAGAGGCTCACAGTATTTTAGTTCAATTCTGAGAATAAAGTAGAACGTAAGAAATTTTCAACTCAAATACACCTGCGCATTATCATATTATATAGTTTAATTCTATTAAAGTCTACTCATTTAGAACAGAAAATGAATGGGAAACGTCTTTAGCTATTTTCAGTAAAAACGAATTTGTGTTCAAATACATTTTTGCAGTTTATTTGTCTGTTTGCAGTTTCATATAATATATAGATACATAACTCGTACAAGATTCATTGAAAATTACAACAATTATTTACAACATTCTGGTTCAGGGTTGCTCAAAGCAAAGATAAATCGAGGAGTTGTATAGGAGAAGAAAGTGAAGAAAGTGGAAAACTAGAAAGTTCGACCATTAAGTCATATGACTGAAGTTGGCAGAAGAGAGATAGAAGTATACAGTATAAGAGTAGAAGTATGAGCATAAGAGCTGAAAATAATTATTGAGAGTTCAAAAGTTGAAAAGGACGGGGGACTACTCGAAGCGATCAAGCGAGTTAGCGGGCAAATGAGACAGCAGCTCATATCTCCCGTGTGTATTCCTTTCCGTTCAAGTGCGTGTGTGTATGACAGTGATGGAAATATGTAGTTGCAGATAGTTAGACAGGTAGCGTAAAAGAGATAGCTGCCTTCGGTAGTCGTTAGAGTGTCGGGCAGATTATATAGAAAAGCTCGTCGTTATCATTGTGGTTAATGGCAGACTCTGGCAGATCCTCAACTTAGTAATGGTTGTATTGCTCGCGGTACTGACCATCATCCTCATGCGCAGAGCCACCATAGTAGCCACCGTGGGAAGCACCACCATGACTGGCTGCTGCCACAGCGTTCAGATGAGCAGCGCGTGCGTGCTGCACCTCTGCGGGCTCAACGGGCACACCATTGTGGATGACTGGGATGTGGATGGGACCCTTATGCGCATAGCCAGAGGAATAGCTCTGGGCGTGACTATCGTGGCTGGCATCCCAACGACCGTCATAGCGACCATCATCCCAGGAGCTGTGAGAACTACCGTGCGCTGAGGCCTGAGAAAGAGCGGCATAGTGAGCGGCCTTAGCGTGCTGCACTTCGGGGGTATCGACAGGCACTCCATTGTGGATCACAGGCACGTGATAGCCACCGTGGGCAATGGGAGCGATGGCATGGCCAGAACGAGCGGCAGCGTGGGCGGCAAAGTGAGCGGCCTTGGCATGCTGGACCTCGGGAGTCTCGACGGGAGCACCATGGGCGTGAGCCACCTGACCCAGAGCCTTGGCATGGGCAGCATAGTGTTCAGCCTTAGCAGCCTGGACATCGGGTGTATCGATTGGGACACCGCCATGGGTGAGGGGTACGTGGGCAGGAGCAGCGCCATAGGCCCAGCCACCACCATAGATCGAACGCTTGTAAAGATGATGACCACCAGCGTTGTGAGCGGCAGCGGCATGAGCAGCAGCATGGGCAGCCTTGGCGTGCTGAACTTCGGGTGTGTCAACGGGCACGCCGCCGTGGGTCAGAACCGGGATGTGGATTCCGTGAGCATATGGCACGTAAGCGGCATGGCCATGAGCAGCGGCATAGACAGGAGCAACATGGGGTACAGCTGGAGCTTGGGGCAGATTGGTGCCAACGGCATTGAAGCCATGATGTGGATCAGCAGTGTATGATACAGATTGCAAATGACCGTGCCCATCAACATAGGAATAGGAGCCGCGTGTGGTGCCATCATGAGCTCGAGTCTCGTGCTTCTGTGAGTTCGGATCGGCATAACCGTATGAATAGGTATGGCTATGAGGGTCCAGATGCTGGTATTGTGTGGAGACAGCGCCATGCCAAGAGGCGGACACCGTCGAGATGAGCAGCACGGCGGCAATCAGCTATAAGAGATAAAAAAAAAAAGAGAACGTGGGAAAGAGTATAATTAAGAGTTAACCGTGGTTATGCCATAGCTCATGCAGATACGTAACAGCTGACGCCAGCTGGCGGCGCAATAATTGTGTTTGTCAGTCAATTGGTCAGTCTTTAAAACAATTTCTCTTACGATTGCCTTTCGCCTGGCTGGCAATCTGACCGCCTCTTTCTGTTCGAACCATCCACACAACACTCTCTTACATATCTCTGGCTGCTATTAGGCGCCATCAAGCGAAACGTTTGATTTGATTTCGTTTCGAGATACTACTCGTCTAGCCAAGTAGCCAAGTATTACCGCATACGAGGCCATTATTATGTGGAGTAGCTTTAGAGCCACCTGTGAGGGGTGCAGTAAAGCTAACCGACATGCAACATGTCAACGGCTTATCAGCTAAAATTTGTAGTGGTTGATGGCAACGGGTCTAATTTCTCGGTGGTTTCTGTGTCACTGGACATGCAGCTGTAAAAGTGGGCAAAGCCCGTAGCTTACTGCTGCATTGGTTGGAGAATAATTAAATAATTAAAATCTAAGCTGTTGTATAATTGAATTGGAATCATTTCCAAAAAACTTTAAAGGAGTTTTTCAAATTGTATTTCATTTGAAAATATTGCTTTATCCAATGAGGAATGGTAGAACTTCATGCTACAATTTCAGTTGATCTTATGTTTCTATTCAGCTACTGTTTAAAATTCAATATTAGAAGCTAGAGAATAATTTCCGATATTGATTGTGTATTTACAGTTATCTTCGGCTCTCAATCAATTATTAGGGCACCTTAATTTTTTAAGGCTTCTCAGGACTCTTAAGTCGTTTTCTCCAATTATAATTTTCTTAGACACTTAACTTGTCAAATATCCTTCTTAACATATTCTGTAAAATATGCGTTTGTTTACTTACAAATGGCTTCATTTTTGTTTACAAAACGTAAATCACAAGTTGAGTTGATTTTTAAAAAACGGTCGCAGGCCGTTCGAAGGAGTAGGGTTAGCTGGGAAGTAACAGAAAACTGACTATACACACACGACACGGCACAGTTACTTGTCGCTGGACGCTGGTTGAACCTCCTAGAATCTCGACTAGGACTGTTAACGAACTGTGCTGACTGTTGGCTGGCGGCTCTAATATATACCGCCAGAGACAGCGTCGGCTGAGACGCCGGCGACTGCGCAAAAACAAAGACAAAGACAAAAGCAAAAGTAATAACCAGAGCAATACACACATACACACACACACACACTCACATGCCATGCCACAATAACAGTAACTACAATAAGAGCAATAGCAGAACAATGTGGCACAAAAGTAATCGAATTACAACGTTAATCGCGGCTCCAAGCTGGTTTTAGCCAAAAGCCGAAGCTGAAGCCGAAGCCGAAGCGGCAGTCGCAACCGCTGCAAAATCAAGCGATGAATGTTGCCCATGCATGTTACCAGCGGGTTTATAGCTAGAAATGGCTATAAAACTTTATATATATACTACGCATATGTGCTTATGTATGAAGCTAACGGTGCTGCATTTTGCGTTTGTCACTGCAAATGCTGCCCTGACCTTGCTTTCGATCGACTCAATCGTTATGGCCACGTCGGAAAAGAATTTTAATTGCTATCTTGGCGGGTTTTTATGACTATTTTGGCTGTTTTGTGAACGCGTTGGTGAATGCGAATGTGTGGGCATTTGAACTTCCGTGCATTGAACAATTAGTACTCATTATTCGGCATATACATTTTATGTGCGATCTTATCGTCGCGTGCCTTTCCAAAAAAAAAAAAGTAAAAATGCCCACAGACCACGCCCGCAAGCACTCACATCAGCCGCTAACAAGGGGCCTGTGCTTGGCAGCATGGGCAGCAAATTAAAAAATTCTTATGAATTTGTTATGCTAGTGCGGCGCTTAGGGAGCTGCAGTTGCCATAGCTTGCAACATGCCACGGGCCACAAACGAAAATCAACGAACAAAAAAATATAAAAAAGCAAAGAAAAAAAATTGTAAACCAATTTCTGGGCGTTTTGCCTCTTTAATCATTGAACTGCATCGAAAACGGGCTGAAACGAAAAGTTTGCAAATTAAAAACAAAAGCATAGCGTACAAAACAAAAGACATAAAACAGAGTATTGCTGTTGTTGCCACATGTTGCAGCATTTCTTTAAAGTTCAATCTTGATGTTGCATTTGCCACACTTTGCAACAACTGCTGCTGTTGTTGTTGCTGATGTTGATTTTGTTGTTATTCTTTTATTGTTTTACTTGCTAGACTTACTACACACAAGAAACACATTTAATAACGAATGCGCATTGAGAGTTCGATCATTTGCATTCGATAGGCGCCATCCATTGCTGCGGCGTGTGTGTTGCATGTGGCACACAAAGCCGCAACTTAATTTACCTTGTCTCAACTGCAACGTCAGCGCCAGTTTCATTTAAATAAAACACATGCAACTTGCTCTCTTGAACTCCCCCTACAAAACCTACAACTCAATATCTGTGTGTGTGTGCGTGTGTGGCTTGGGGGCGTGGCGGGTGTGTTTTGACATTTTTGCGGCATGCGCAACATTATAAATGATATTCCCGTTGTCACCTTCGTTTTCATTTTCATTTTTGTAAGTTTCTGCAAATATATTTCGTTGTGTTTGCCGACATGTGGGCTGAGCTACTCAAGTGCAATCTACAGATTTGTGCATGCCCACCTATCCTGCAATTTGTGAGCTATAATTATAATTTTATATGGGTGCGCTACATGCAAAACGGTGCGGCATACTCGTATAACACATATATGCATAAATAAAATACTGCATAAAAGTGTTAATAAAATAATTATATGATATAGTTGTATTTGAAATCAAAATGACACCGCGCACGGCTATTACAAATTTTAATTAGTTTAATTTATGTGCTTAAGAAATATGCAATTGGCTAAAACAAGTGCAAAATGGTGGCAAATAAATGCCTGAATGGCGCTGAATGCTTCACATTCACTTGCAACAATTACAAGTTACGCTAAATTAACACCTGATTGTATTTTATTGGGTAAAAAAAAACATTTAGGAACAATTATTAATGTAACGGGTATACTTTATATGTAAATTTAAGAATACAATTTATAATTGCATTAATCGTAAATAATTCTTAATACCTTTAAGATAAAAAATACAATAATAATGATTTTTATAAAATTATTTTTTCTTTTATTTTAATATTCTACTTAGTATATAGGCCGTACAAAAATATATTATGTATACGCATGTTGAACTCTCATATTTATACATATATATATCAATATATAATGTTTATATATAGACAAGAAAATAATTTTATTTATTCTTTTAGTTTCAGTACGTCACATTATATCCATTCATTTTCTACACACTTAGTATAACCTTCACAATGAATATATTGCGTATACGCCTATTTCACTTTAACTAAAATGCTTTAGCACTTATGGTTCATTAACTCTAACCCACAATTAAATATATAAGCTTAGCACCCTCTATGCCCTACAATTACTAACAAATTTGAGACAATCGCATGCAACTACACATCAGCTGGCTTACAGTTACGGTCATAAGTATCGCAACGCAAGATGTAGGTGGGCGTACGCTGCCTGTTTGGTCTTATTTATCAGCAAATATGCAAATTTTGGCATTCAACAGAATAGGAGAATACAAAACAGAAAATGCGGCAGTAAATTGAAAGCCAAATGCCTTGCCAATTGTCAGCGTCGCATTAATTATTCTTGTTCAGATTTGTAGCTATCAAAAGTAATTGTTTATTTGGGATATATATTTTTTAGACAGTCAGGTGTTATGTGCAGTCAGTTTATCTTGCTATTCGATAATCCATATTCATAAGCAAAATCATGTTTAATTAATTGCACTAGCTGTAAACAACATAATTATAGCGAATTCTACCACATTGAGACTGTGACTTGACCAGTTGACCAGCTGAGCAGCTGAACAGTTGAGCAGCTGACCAATTAATGATCTGCTGGGCCATTAGGCAAATGAATACGACAACACCAACACTTGACTCGATCCAATTAGAAGCAATTAATATTCAAATACAGCCAGTGAAGACAATAAAATGGTGTACCACACGACATAGCCAGCAAACCACGTGGTCATAACCAATGCAACGCAAAGTCAATTCAATCTGGCCTGGGAAATCAGAGTAGACCACTCAGGACCCGTCACGCATCACTGAACTGCAGCTGGCATTGAAATTCTTGCAATCGTCTCAGCTTTTGTTAGTTATTTGGAAGTCATTAATGCAACTGCACCGCTGCTCCGTTTTGCTCGATGAGGTGCACTGAAGCGCAACCGCCACTCTTTGTCGGATTTTGGCCAGGCGGATACAGACGACTCGCACAATGGGGTGTGATTTCGCACTCTAACTATTAGTGTATGGGTGTATCAATTATTTCATTGCCTTCATATGTCTTATGTTATTTGTTCTTACATAAGCTTTGGCTTCAAATATTTGCTGTTAATTATCTTTAGCTAATTGCTGAGAAATCATTGCATATATGAATATAGAATGATGTTTTAGCATTGGGTTAAGACTACACAGGTGTAACACCCTGTACTTGGGTTTGCGATTAAATATGGTATTGATATTTATCAGAATTTTCGAAAATTTAAAATTAATATTTTATTTTTTATATTATATTAATGAGTAAATAACTCGAATCCAATCTAATAACAAATAGTTTTGATCTATTGAAAAGATTTCATTGATCCCCTACGTTTTATAGCTATCTTGGTTTTCAACCAACTGCAAGAAGTTAGTTAAAGTTACTAGAGCAAACACCCTGTTGCTTAAGAATTAAATCAATGTGCTAAGCGTGCAAAGTTAAAATAAATCATTAAAATTTATGAATTTAATTGCCTTCAATTATTGCCACAGATAAAAAGCGTTCCAAACTAAGATCGCAACTTGAACTGCCACCCATAAACAAGCTCTTGCTACCGCTTGCAGTTGATCGCAGAGCACTTGTAGTTTCTATTTGGATTTGGATTTGATTTGATTTGATTCAGCTATACGCGCTGAGTAGCAGATAATTCAATTCAATCAACGGTGGCCGCCCTAACATGAAATTACAAAAATTATGGACGCGGACGGCACAAAAAGTTGTCTAACTATTATTAAGGCGTAGCTGGACGAGAAAGGAGGGGCCACAGTAGCGGAGGTGGAATACTGTTTTGTCTTGGTATGTGGTTATGCCAATTGACACAGGACGGGTCGCTGCAAGTTAATTGACTTCTGCTCCAAGGGCCAAGCAACTGTCGCGTTTTCTGCTACACAGAAATCAAATTACGAATATTGTTCAAAAAATGATTGATTGGGCAGTTGTGTGCGCGCATTAGATGGCAATTTGTCTGGGATGCGATTTGGGTGCAGTGGCCCGTCAAACGCGTGGGTTGGCTTGCCACTAGTGATATTGATATTAATATTGCATTTTGTGGCCCAGTTCCAGACAGCCAACAAACTGAAGCAGCAGCCACAGTCACAGCCACAGCTTCAGCCGCAGCGGCAGCAGCAGCAGCAGCTGGCATACAACTTGAAGCAATTTGACACGCTTCAAACCAGTCTTTTGGCTGGTTCGCTTGCATCACTTTGTACCGCCTTAATATTTGGGGCCAGTTGGCTTCCAACTGTGCGTCGATTCGCCACAGAAACTCTGGTCACCTACAGATGTAGCTATAGATGACTTTCATGCTTGAAATAAATTGCTAAACGACCATGATCTGATAACATAACTTAGGATACGCACGTGCCACACAACCAGGAATGCTCGCGCCTCGGTGACATTCTTAACCTTCAACGTAGTTGACATGGAAATTCTTAGCGTGCGATAAGCGGAGAAAAATAACGAATGGATATCCATTTGCTGACAAACCCCAAAAAAAGTGACACATAAACCGCACAGCAACAACTCTGATAGCCACATGCAGCACGCTGTTATGTTCGGATTCATGTCTTTAAAGTGCGCACAAGCGCATGAAATGACGGCCGGCCAACTGGTTGCAGACCATTGCTGGGGGCGCGACTCACCGTTTGGCCTCTGATATTAAAAACCAAAACAAAA